GATGAGTTCAGGTGATTCAAATACATTTTTGACTATCCAGTCCACATCTAGTTTTTCCAGAGAATATTGATTGACACGACTAGTCTCCTACTACGTATATTATACATCTGCTAAATAGTAGCAGTTATGCTGGGCGTGTTGCCATCGCATACATATTTCAGGTTGTAGCATTAGCCTAGTAGGTTCGGCATAAAGGAACCTTCCGCCAAATACTTCCGTTAATATGACGTACTTATATTTGCTACGTAAACGCCTTTTTTTTTAATGCAAAACGTGGATCACCGATTGCACGCAAGATTTTTACTAACTGAGTGGGTTAAGTATTTTATCATACGCCCTCGCATTTTAAGACCCGCACATGGTTTCTTCCGGACCAAAAATGGGCACGCTAAACAGGTAAACACTTCGACACGCGTTACTATTGCTTTTCGGTTAAGCCTTGGAAAACTTCTTATTCAGTCATAGGTAAGACCTTACGAAAAATACAATTTGAGATAATTATGGCCAAAGATGGCTGAAAATCAATCATCGACTTTAAATTGTCTTAAATTGACTTTAAATAGAAGAACAGGTGTGAGAGTATCTTTCGTCTACAGATAATAGGTTGGCTTACATGAGTTTCAAGGGTACAGCGAAAAAAAAAAGCCTTTTTTGTACCGCGGTCTTGAGAACGGTTGCCGTTAGAAAAAAAACGAAGGCCAGCAGATTCAGCTATATTCGTTTGTCACAGTATATATTTTTTAATGCTACCGATCTCGATATTTGTGGGACACTTTTCTTTCTATGAACAGGAAATATAAAACCAATTTCCACTTTATTAGATCTTTAAGCCTTACGCAAATCGCGTTCTGATATACGATGCTACCAAATTTTATATTATTGACGATAACCGTATTGACATTTATTATGTATAGTAGTTTTAGTATTAGCTTTTCCTTGGCCGACTTTTGGCCTGGGAAGCTTTACGGCTTCCGGTCGTGGAGTACGTTTGGACTCTATTAAGGAAGCTGTGAAGATGATTAAAATAATTAATAAATAAAAAAAATAAATAAAAAAGCAGCGATATACATGTGCTGCAGCTATGCAATTTTCAAGCGTGTGCTCCTCTGACGTTGATGCTATACGACTCCCTGTGGAGGCGTTTTTTGCGCGGGTTTCGAGATTCTAGCACGCGACTTATCCGAAATAGATTCGTGATACCAGCCGCTCTATGGCATCAGCCATCTTGTGAGAATAGTAAATCAAACTATTTTTTAAGTAAATTCTATATAAAGCACAACCTCTCACTATTGTTTGCATCTAACAGCTTTTTTCATGCTTAATCTAAAAGCATCAGTTTTGAGTACAGGGATGCATACGTGTTTATGCCTCTGACAGGTTATCTTTTCTAGCAATGTTCTTTCCAGTCGTTATGTAGATTTAAAAAAACGCTACTCTGATGGTGTGTAGTAAATTTGCGTTAAATTTTCAATATCTTGCAATTTTCAAAGCTGTAAAAAAAAATAGCTTTAAGAATTAGCATGCTATGAAATTCTTATAGGTATCTCAAATTTTTTGTTTTCATGAAGCGAGTGGTCTGAAAAACGTTTTGCAATAGTTTTTTGTTACATTAAACTTCTCGAAGCTCCACTAGTAACTATTGTGAGCTTGCCTTAGATTTTATTTAATTAACACAAAATATTAAAGCCAATTTGCTGTTTTCATTTGTACGGCATGCAACAGCGGCAGCGACCTTAGAGTGGCATAAATTATAGCACTATGCCACCTCTCATATAGCTGCGGTTCGAGGCTATTCAAGCTTATTTCCTTACAGTTTCAGTATTTTCGCGTACCTATTACGTCCAGTATCCCCGTTAAACACTCGATCACACAGCCGGCTCCCAGTACGAGACGAAGTGTGTTTCTGCCCGGCTTCGAACCCACCCCGTTACGCATCCCCAAGATTAGCTGCAAGCATATTACCCACTAAGCTCTTGATATCCGCGTAACCGCGCACAAACTTGTGTCATAGAAAATAATAGAACAAATACATGCCGAAGGCTACCAGTTCGACATTGCAAATCCCTAGGGTAAAACTCACCTGTAAGCCTCGAATTTTTTTGTACCATGCACGTTCTCTATATATTAACCCATATTATTTTAACTCAATATTTGCTATAGGCTTATCTTGAATTGCGTTTACGTTCACGCCGATTACATAGTTTACTTAGTCGATCCATAAATGTCCCCTTTCGAGAAAAGTATATCCATTCAGTGCGGCATTTCGACAATCGAGTGACCCGTTTACTGTCTTTTACACGCTTAGCTGGAAGGTACGTACAGGTCTATGTCACTACCGCTTCGTAGGAACAATTACTTGTGCTGCATTTGCAATTCGTAAGTTGAATGCTAGGGCTAACTTATTACTTTGTTTTTACTTGTCCATTCATTACCGTTTGCTCGATTTATTTGTTTCGTCTGTTCGAGTTAAAAACCAATACAATTAATCATAACGACGTCATTTATTCAGCAACAGCACACGGAAATTGGACATCTAGCGATTGTAAGTGTGCCGCATTCGGTCTGCTGCCGACATCTAACTTGGTGCAATTGAGTTAGTTTATGACCACTTACACTGATAACCTTACGGACAAGAGAACGGTTCATCGATTCCGACACATGTGCACGTGTGTAATGCATTATGACCCTATCAAGAAATTTTGAACTTAGAGTGTAACTTGTTTGATTAGCTGAATTACGCTGATCTAGTCGTTAATTGTCATGGCGTTTTGTTCGTGTTACCAGTTCCGCTTACTTGGGTTACCTAATATCATGCTGTCACAAGCGAACCTCGGGATCGAACAACTTTCCATTTACAAGTCATTAGGAAGTTAGTTAATGAATACCCTTCAGCATTCGATCTTCTAGTGACCCCTGAACAAAAGCCCATATAGCTTACATTAGGAAAAGAAAGAGCAGTTTTTAATATCAAGAATCAAGGCTCAGTGCGCAAGTTGTTGTCCTTCGAAAGCCACAGCGCTGCGCCATTAATACATGATTCGTATAATTATGTTGGCCTGTAATATGGGTCGTTTGAACGTTCTCCTATGGGAACATCCTCAAACGAGGACAGTGTTGTGCGTTGCATTAACGAAAAGCGGTAGATACGATTTTCGTTGATGTAAAGAGGTGTCTAATACTAATAGAACGCTTTCGAGCGTCTAGCTACGAAAAGTCATACACACGTTTGTTTAATCGCTGCATTGGTGTTGAGATTTTCGTTTTTTAATAGTGACAGTCGCATAGCCAAGTGGACAATATTAAATACTAGAGAACGTATCGCCTTCGTCTGGGATAGCAGGTACCACTGAAGTAACATTTTACAGGCAACTGGGCCGTCTAAGGATCACTCAGTTGCAGCAGACGACTGCTCCTGCGTTTTTCAGCTGCGATCTCGCCTTGAAATCTGATTGGCGTACCACATATGTATATTTCTATATACCAAAGCAAATACTATTTATACCGATTAGAGTTTTGATCGATTTACGTCGAAGAAGTACGGCTTAGTCTGCCAATACAGTCATGCACCTATAAAGCAGACGCAATCAGATATTAGCTATGACATTGCTTCGTACGCCCTAGATATATAGTACATTACTATCGCTAGATAAGTTTCCAGCTGATTCTGAGGATTTTTCGAAAAAATTGTACAATAAATAGGTCTGTTCCTAGCATTGACATGTATGCATGTACCAGCTTTGAATGTTTAGTTGAAAATCAATGATTTTTAAAAATTATTACGCGATTACACCGGTGTTCATATAAAAAACCACTTGTATGGCAACGCCAAGCACCTTAAGTGCACTCTGTACGCGTCCGATACAGCCTCGTAGTGGAAAAAAATCAAGCTGTTAGTGAGCTGATTAGTGTCGCTGAGAGAAATACCCATTGGCGACCAAGTGCACTCATAGGGAACTATAGGCATTTAGCTACTAAATATACATAATTGTAAACCCTAAGTAATATAGGTTTAGGGAATACGTCGTATTTCATTGAGTATTCAGGCATTCAATTTACTTATTTCAATGTGACTATGGTCATCAAAATAATGTTCATTAACCAAATGAAAAGAGCTTTGTAACGTAGTGCCTTTCCCTGGAGCGGAGGAAATAAATGATATTTCAACACATGAAATATTGCTTTAGATAACTATTGAAGATAACTACTTCACTGTAACTTTTGCTGAAAAAACCTATGATTTTTCAACCCTTACAAATTGCAAAAGGATCACTAAGAAACAAAGGTTGATTTTCTCTAGTTACAGGTAACAATACTCACAACTTAGATCGAGCTTGAACAAAGCTATTAAGTTTGTTCTCAGCCGTGCCAGCTATATTTACCCAACAGTTATGAACGACCTAGGCTCTACACCTAGGTATTACTACACATGCATCATTTAAGTTAGGGCTACTTCTACTGTGTGGAATATTATCTAACTTAGCGACGTCCAAGGGTCGATGATGAACTGATTTATTTAAAATTGAACACAATCTCAAATTAATCATTTTCGGTTGGAGGTCTTCCTGATCTTCGCTATCGATATTGCTACGATCAGGTAACAACACTATTACTATATACTCAAAAGATTGTTTGCACTTGTCCCGCCAATGCCAATGTTTACTATCCATTCTATGGATATATTTACGATATGAGTATTTTTACATGCAAATATTTATTTTATCGATAATGATTTTTGTTAGTTTTTGATACAAAACTCAAAGTACAATGGCAGATGTAACATATAGGGTCCTAATATAAAATAAACGTAATTTGTAATTAGATTGAACGGCTCCATCAAGCGCCTTTAATCTAGCCGCTTCAGGAAAGCTCAAGCGGACAGATAATACTATTGCTATTATTTTGTATAAACTAAATATATTCATCTCTGACAGCTATAATCATCCAATTATATTGCTAACTTACTTAATAACGATAAAAAGTCAAAAGCGAAGTCGACTTACATTCACGTGACCCTCATAACCTAGACGTTATTGAATAAATGCCTCAAATAAGGCCTCGCCCGGTAAATAGCAGGTGGAATAGAAAGGTTGACACAGAACAATTTGTGAGCCTTCAGAAAACGGCGTCAGCCAAACTATAAGAAGACGATTTTACCTTAACCTTTGAAAGAACAACACACATTTTATAAGGGGATCAAAGTACGGAGTTGGGCGAGAACAATATTTGACAGAAACCAACGTCATACCAAAACAGCCACCTTCTGCAATTACAGGGTAATCCCACACGCGCTTTTACAGTACGTGCCACTTTTAACATTGAATGCTGTGTCCTAACTAGTCTCACCGTAGCCCTAAAATGATGGCTGCCTTAGAGCTACAGGTTTTTTGTGCAGGATCCCTAACCTTGATCCATTTTTTCGTCCTTTCTCTTCAGTGTCGCTGGCCTATTTTAGTAAACAATGGCAGCCGTATCGTGACAATTTTAATATGCGGTTAATGTCACCCTATATCTTTTTAAGGGTCAGCCAATTCGCGAGGGCCTTGTGGAAGGGGTTCATGCAATATGTCGGGATTGTGTATAAACATAGCAGTTTTTTTCTCAGTTAAACCAGTCCAAATTTATGACAGGCTTAACGGCTATCTCTAATATAATGCTCTAACCAACGCATCGTATTCGATGTTACGTCTATAGATCCGGACATTCGTTGAGTTAGTACATACTTTTATCTAACTCTTGAGTTTTTCGGTGAAAGCTTTTTTATGACGGGTGTCTCAGTGATAAACTATTGTCGCCCGAGACTCGATATCATCTCAGGCCTCAACTATTTCTATTTACTACCTTTAGACCCTTAAACCAAATGCAGGTTGCCTCACTTCGTATGTCATGTTTGCAGCTGTATATGTACAAGAAACGCAACAAATTACGCCCTAGGCATTAATCATCAGGTTTCATTCACATAAATGTTAGCGTACCAGATCATATTTGTCCGATCCTCTGATTGGAATCATTTTAATTTGTGTCCATACCTTGGAATCAACTAGCGAGCGCAATTTGGGCGTTTCCTACGATACCACTCTTTCCCAAATTGCGGCTCTCTCTCTTTCTATATATATATGTATATATATATACATTTTTTGTTTGTGTGATAGCTGACTAAATAAAGAAAGAGGATGAAACCTTAAAGTCGGACAAACTTACGTTGTCTGTTTGTCATGTAAAGTTTGCGCCTGTCCGCTACTGCTGGCACTGGAAAAACCGATCCGTTATGAAATACGATAATGTCAGTATTGCGAAAATAAAATTTCGTTTTCGGAAATTATCAAATATTCTAGCGCTGTGCGAGTTCAAATCACTATAACTAGCTTTGCTTTTGTTCGACGTCCCCTGTTTGAATTTTCGCGCGGTTTTTAAAAAATCCGAGGATAACTAGGCTTTCGATATAGATATTAACAACCTCGAGAGAAAAATAATTGACAATTGAATCGTCCAGATAAGCTCCAACACTTAGTCTTCTTGAGGTTTTTGCCCCTTTGAACTCTGTATGCTGTTTTTTTTGCTGAACTTTTAGCCTGTTATCAGTCGAAAATATAATTCCGTCCGAATTTTGTCTATGTCGCCTATTCGAGTGACACTTTAGCGAATTCAAACGTACGAATCTGCCGGTACGGTTCTTTGCGGATTAACCGACGATTATTTTGAAAATGATAGGTCCCGACTTAAAGCTGTGATTGTTGTCAATGGTGGCTATATTTAAATGAACATCTACTAAATACAGAAAAAAGTGTAAAAATCTCATTCATTTTTGTTTAGCTGCTATCTGAAATATAACTTAAAAGGAAGGCCTAAGTTTAGACAACCCACTTACGTATAACTGACCTTTAAGTTGCAAAACAATCTATATAAAATGCATAATTTCTCCTTTGACCATATATGTTCAAAATGATTACTATTTGAGTCGATGCACTGCTGTTAGATTGTTCATTCATTAACTTACAGCGGTAAAACTGAAAAGCTTAAAAAGAAACAGCGGTACAGTGCCCTCTGTTACCTTTTAAGCCGATATGAGCAGATGTAACGTTTTTTTAACAATCAAAGCCCTAGCGACACCTCACTCCTAGATATAAGTTAAATGTTATTAGTGTACATAACAACTCAAGCCACTGTGTACGGTTACATTGCAAGCGTATCACGGAAGCACGAGTTTCGGCGCTCGAACCGTTGTAGACCATAGATTTGTAGAGCAACAAATCGATACAAGTTCCTCTTCCCTAGTAAGACGTTGCGTTACGCTGCAAGATTACCGACTGTTACTGGTTGAGACGTTTTTAACATCTGACGACGGCAGGCCAAGGAGCCTGTCGCCGGTAATAAATGATAGCAGTGCAGCGAATGCGACACGCCTACTTCGTTATACGTGCATATGATATTAATATGCACAGAATAATGTCCTGGCATAGGCTGAAGAATTCGATGGCGTGTGAGACTCACGGCAGAACGTACGAAATAAAAATTGTAAATATATATGTTGTGCTGCATGCGCGTCCATGTAAAACGTTCACTGGCCCTGTAAAATTGAAAAGCCCAACATTTATTTGAGTGCAGTAAGGTATAAAAGTAGACTTAGGCTCGTAATCTATTGATACCTGCTCGCCGCGCTAAAATGGCGGCGTTTATAGAATCGATGACTGCATGGATTAGCAGTGTGAACCGAAGCTGATCGCAGGGTCTTCAGTCAACTCCATAACATCACACCCGACCGACCCTTCGAACATATTACGTGTGTGTCGTGTTAAATGATATTAGCGCTGACTAAACGTAATAATACGGTGCATTGCAATGAAAAGTCACTTAGTTACATCAAACTTGAAACTTCGTAGTTTCACTCACATATCCAGCGCGGCAGTTTTTAACTATCCTGTACGACATGTATTTCACAGCTTCATCTGTGTTAGTTCAATTAGAGAAAATAGGATCGCTTTGGGCCTCCTAATCGATAAAAATGATACAACAGCTAACAATATCCACGTATCTGAGCAAAACAATGAAAACAATACATTCAGGTTGACGGGTATAAAATCTATTTTATTTGAATATAGAACTACACTTCGGTTCTTGATATGTCAAATCTGTGATTATTTTTTTTCGTCATTATTATTACTATCATCATTAATGCAAGTTGTATTATTGGTATACGGGTGTTTTTTTTTTTTATTGTTTTGTATTGAAGAGACAAAACTCTACTTCGAGTAAACGCTATTTTTAAGTATGTTTTTACGTGTAGGAAATTCTGTGACTCTTTACGAGGCACCGTCACTCACCGGCTGTGAGCGCAATCTGCCTCGTGCGTTCAGCATCTAAAATTATCGCTTGTAGTTTTCGTTTTTTGTCATCCTCAGACCTCTCGCTGGCTACGTATTGCTTTTAAGAGGATGACAATGGGCCCGCTCGCCAGACCTGATGGCTGGCTATACCTCACAAATATTATAGTCGTCAGAAACGTATTCATATAATTGTCATGGCGATAATGGACGTCGTGCCCAATGGAGCTGACAAATATATAGAATGTACGGAAAATTATTAGACCTCTCCGTATAGTCCTTTTTCATCCTAAAAATTTTAAATCCTAATTTCGACAAGGTGCTAGTTCATGCTGATCGACGACGACAGCGTTACGCCAGCACCGATTACATTATGATGGATGAATTCTGTGAAACGTGACTTCGGTGACTAATTACGCCATAGCACTGTTATTTCGTTTGTTAGACATCTTCGTATCGTCATTGATCTGTTTATCTACAGTCGATGCTCTGTCTCGTCGTGTATAGTGAGGACACTATCTACTCGTTGATAGTTTCCGTTAATGATTTGGCCATTATTCCCTGTCGACTATGGCTTGTCATTATAGCCAATAGTACATAATAAATATAAGCGATCACGATCATAGGAAAATTAGCGGCTTCTATGACTCAGATCTGATATTTTAGCCAAGTACTTATCGTTAATAGAATTCAACTGCTACCTCCTCTTTCTAATAATGTTAGAGCGTAGATTGACTTTTTTTTATTGATTTTGTTACTAAGCGTGTTGCTTGAAACACTTGAGGACAGTTGATTGATATCTGAGTTTTTGCTATCGATCTTGTCCGATTTAAACGTGTCCAGATTTCCTTTTTCAAAATTTATTTAGCGCTATTTAATTTCCTATCCGCACAGGTCGTACAATTGGCTGTTGATCAGTGAGCGGTCTGGCTGTATCCACTAATTACATAACGGTTATTTCAGCGCGTTTATTTATATATATATATAATCTTATTTTTTATAATGTTAAGGGCTCGTAAACAGGATATGGCCCCTGTCCTTTGTGCTAGCTAGCATGGGGCAGTCGAATGGTCGGTTGAATCTGGCCGATCATCAATAACTAATATGGTACTAAGCTAGGAGGCGAACGAATTTTAGCATCACCGCATTACAGCTTTTTGGGAAAATTTAGAGGCAGGCTAAGGGGCGCCTAGATAGTTTTCGGTAGAGTCTATCGTTCCTTAATAAATCGTGGGATGTTTGGAGCTAAATGGCAAAATCGCAGGATTGTTTTTCAGCCGAGTTTTAGTTAGTCGTCATCACCTGCATTTACTCCCCTTCATTCGCTCCCATTGATTTGTAGCCACTATTTCAATTTGACGACTTGTCATGATAATACGTAACTCGCATAAAATTTGTACGTACAAAAGCGACCTATATGCGCTTTGTTTTCATGCAAGTTTCCAGGCTTGTTATCTCCGAGTAGAACTTATCTTTTGGTTTTTGCTAGAACTGTGTACAAATGGTTAAAACTAAATCTATGATTTTTGAATTTGTCTTTGTTAAAATTGGCGAGACTGAGGGAAAAGAAAAAGGGAAGAATTAGCTGGAAATGTTAGATCGATCTGCTCGTTTATGATGAGTTAGCTAGAGCATTCGTTTCCATAATCGCTTTGTCTCTCATCGCTAAAGTAGCACCAGTGCACACCCTGTTTATATACTCTGAATAGCAGTATCACACATACAACCACGTCAATTTTGCCTGCCGTTCAGCTGTCTACAACAGAAAAAGCTCCGAAAAGCATTGCCCGCACAGATTTCCGTCCACCATCTAAATCCTAGTGATAGTCACTTTCCAGACTGAAAAACAAGTTAAATAAGAGGTTTATTATTGAGTGTTCGGTAATCTTTTTATTCTCTTACACTGAATAGCTCGATGTGTACACCCACACATCTACCACTCTTAAGAGATCCGTCCTTCCAGAAAAAAAAGTCAAGTGCGTGAATTTATAAATATAGTCGTTCCCTGAGTTATGCTTAGGCTTAGACCGTATGCAAGGATGACGATTTCTTAGAGCCAGACCAAGTTGGGAACCTGAGCAAAACTTAGACCGTTCTAATTAACAGCAACACTATTCATTTGATGCTCGATTAACTGTTGTAAACGTTTGTTATTGTTATTATTCGTGTTGATGTTTATCCTGTTACTACTGCTGTCTGCTCGTTCCTTGTGCCTCTCCGTTTTTCCCTCTGTCGCTCCCTTTTCATTTATCCCAATTACGAGCCGTTTCTGCTTTCGGAGTCAAATTCTGCAAACAAACTCTGCGTGGAAATTTCAATATTTGATTGTTTATCTAATTACAGTATATACATATCAGTTCAGAGCACATGTATATATACTGTCCGTCGCTCATCCATATACGCTACGCTATCACCAGTAGCGACATCTCCTTAGTGGTGTCACTACCTTGATACAACGGGAAACAACATATTTGTAATTAATGACTCGGCGCCAATTGTATAAGTTTCAATAGGCAAGTCGTGTCGGGTGTTATAGCTTTTATTGAAGGTGTAATCTGTTTATGCAATGGACTACACCACACTGGCGTGTCTTCGTATCCGTCCGAGCTTTGTCAGACAGTGTATCGAAGAAGCTACGCGAATCTGTGCTGAAGAAAGCGGGATGCCAGTGCCTTTGTTCTGTTTGCTCTTTTTTGTACCACGCTATGGGAATTAACTGCATTAAAACTTGTGTTGTCTGTTTAAGTTTTGCCATTGCGCATACGGAATCAAAGAAATGTTACAATTACAGTAGGTTGGCTGATTTCACTACTGGTATTGCATACGGTTTTGGATGCATCCAACGAAAACGCCCAACGAAGTCCCTTCAAATTATCTGCTATACCATGAATGAATGACTTTGGTGTTTATTTACCTAAGATAAACTGATCCAGGGAAAAAAATCGTTTTTCTACCATGGTCTGTTCACGTCGTAACGGAAAAGCATCAAGTTAGTGTGTACAGACGCTTGTTATTTTTATAAAATGGTATTTCCCTGACAGGAAGCTGATCCTAGTTACACGAAGAGAACGTAATAAACGTTTTGACTATTCGACCCACCATCGTCCGTTTTCTGCCATCGGCATCTTGTAACTGATTAGCATAGAGTAGTGCTAGGTTTATCAGTGTACAGTTACCCATAATTACAGTGTCCCTGATGCTCGTTTTGGTTACTGAAAGCGACTGAAGGTTATCTTTCAAAGCTTCACTGGTGAAGATCAAAGTCTTAGAATTCGCGTGTAGTAGAGAATTACTGTTGCATACTCTTTTATGTTAATGCGCCTTGTTTACGTAGTTTTACCATTATACTGTGTCCATGATGCTTTTAATTAAAGCTGTCTTTGTTTACATTATAATTTCACTTAGGGTATATTTTTGAATATATGAAAATGTTCATAGAACTGTGAACTTTATCGTCCAACTTATTTTTACGATACAACATTCGTTAACTTCAGCAGTGTTTTATTTTCTATCTAAATTTATGGCGCCTGCTATTGGTTCGTATTTTGTTTTTCTCCAAATTATATTAAGCTGTTACAAGCGAATCCATTAGACTTTGAATTTGAATAGGTTTGGAAGTACGCGTCGCTAGCAAATGAAAGTTGGCTGCTAAACACTGAAGTCCCCTGGAAGCATTTGAATTAAGGATAAGTTAGTTATGGAAGATTAGCGAGTCCATGACTAGATATCGGAAGCTGAAAAATACAAACGCCTTGCTGTGATCGATGACGCTTTCGAGCGATGCGTAGGTTAGTGTATAAGAGCTGTTTGGGCCAGAGCTGATATATAACGTAGGATGTTACAGACTTATAAACCAAATACTGAGATGCGAAAAAATGAATATAGGTGGATCCCTGTGAATCGAGTTCAGGCCAATTGTAAATGCTTGTGAAATTTGCAGAAGATCAAAAAGACAGTTCTCGAAGGTAACATACGGTTCAGTTTTGATCGCTGATAGGAGAGGGACGAGACGAAAACATCACGTCGCCCTACAGACGCTTCGAGTTCAGTAGCAGCGTTGAGTAGGTTCCGACGGGAAGCGGCGGACGTACTTGCAATAGATATCAGGGGCATCTGCTATTACGAGATATTCGCAGAAAGTGAAGTAATAAATGAAAGTTATCTCAAGCTCAAAAACTCATAGACCGTTCGGATGGCACTCGAAAGCATTGATAACAATGCAAAACATCGTTGCCTCGATATCGGGCAAAAGAACATCGGGCAATGGCTACAATGCACTTATTCTCTCGATCTAAGTTCATATAATTACGGGGCTTTCCATACCCTAGAAAGCCACATAGTGGCCCATCGATAGAAAAATGATAGGGAGCTAACATATGGGAACGCGAATGGTAGATATATGGCTATGCAGAAGCTGGTAGAGCGCTGAGACGAATATGTAAAAATAAAGCAAACTATATCTAAGACGTATTAAAATATAATCGTACTAGCCCAATCAGCTCAAAATTTATTATATTTCAAAGGCTGCCAAATTCGCTTGAAGTAGCTTAATTTTTTTGCCATCATCTTTACCCTTTAACCCACATGTTAAAGAATATTTTCTCGTGGAAAAAAGCTCATAGCACGGCCATAACTCAAATGATTACCGCTACCGAATAACAGTGCTAGCTAAGTAATGAGTTAGCTCATCATCATTATAACCATTTGCCACAAGTCGATTTTTACGGTTACTGTTAGTTATGTTTAGCAACATGTTGAGGTCACCTATATCTCAAACATCAGATCACTTGCGTTTGTCGTATAGTGACCACATTTGTCGATAGCTAGGCATCGATGTCCTTCTTTCTATCTCTATGTGTACCTATTTGAGAACACTATCTCAATTTCATCAGTTATAATCATCATCGTTAGTGTCGTTATAACCTTACATCTCCTCGTTAGAGTACGTGGAGATCATCGCACGATCGAGTTCTCACTGAGTCGCATTTGGTCCAAAATTTGTTGATGAATCCGCGCGCCTTGCAGGCGATGGAACGAGCCACCGAAGGTCGGTGGCCTTCCGCACTATCCGTCATAATTGGCGGAAAGGCTGATGTTGATAGGGATGCCCGGTGTCCATAGCCGTGTCCAGGCGTTGGTTCGGGACTGAGGGAAGCTGCCCGGGAGCGGATGATCGGAGGCACATCAAGTGTGCACCAGGCGGGCACGGAGCCGGAACGTTGCTTCAGGCGGATCTGTTTGAGGGTGCCAACAAGCAGCTCGTCTACGTTATGGCCAATACACGCAGATGTTTCGATAAACTTGCATTCGTATTTTTTCGCTAAGGACCGGCCCTCTGCAAAGAAGAAAGTGTCGACAAAGGCTCAAATTAGTCAGGACTGATTGTCGTAAAGAAATGTTTTAGATGACAATACGAATAAATGGTACATCCTTTGTTGAAAAAAGAGCTATCTGTGTTTTATATTCCTATATGTGCAGAAACAGAACTTAGAAGCTCGATATTAAGATTTGATTTTCGACAAGTTTCGATTACTACGAGTATGTCGCATTTCTAAACTATACACTTTACGAGAGATGAGATATTTGTTTTTTCTTTCGACTTTAATTTTCTTTTGCGAGATTTGTAGATTACGTGGACCTATCGGACTTGCGTGTTCTCTGTACAGACGCATGTACATTTGTATCGCGGAAACTACTCTAACCAGAACAGTCCCCTTCTTTCACATACCATCTAAGGTATTTTGGTGCAAGTGTGGTCTGGTTTTACATCAAGAGGTATCTGTAAAGCCATTGTTTCCTTATTCAGTTTTAAATAAAACTGTAGCCTTAAGAGGGAACCAGAAAGATAGGACATAGATAATAGCACGTTGCAGTTTTATGAACGTTGGCGGCATAGTAGGATGACTACTTTCAAACTAGGACACCTGTCTGGAAACCCAATGCCATTTTGAACTACCACCTGAAAGTCGTATTTTATGCTTGCCTTTTATTACAACGGTTCAATTCGATAAAGGCGGCCATGATGCGTCTTGTCGTCCATCCACTTGCCTGCTTCGTCGCCAAAGCTAACTGGCCCGCGAAACAACCCCACTGCAACCCTTTTTTTTTTGTTGATGATAACATATTGCGCTGTAGCAACTCGGCAATCGATAAAAACATAGGTCATGGGTGCAATGCGAGGCACTTCTTCGAATCGAGAAGAACACTATGTACACCTAATGATCATATCGAAATGACAGAAGCAAGATCTATCTGCGCATGCTGCCCATAGAGCGATGATGGTATCCTAAAATATTTATACTTTATTTATATACAAAGGGTCAATTGACCCTTTTCAGTGCTTGTTGACAAAATCGTTGACTTTTAATTTTAGACAGAAAACTTTGAAGTTAGTGACCTCTCTGTAATCATTTACCCTAGTCTTGCCGTGCCCGAGGACTAAATCACTGAATTTGCGTAGTGTCAAGGTTAAATATATGCCTGCTGGATTTGATGGTTTCTGTCGACCTGTGTTCGCCTCAGCATCTGAACGGTGATTTTATATGAAACGGTTTTACAGCTCTTGCCACACTGTAGACGGGTGTAACATATTTTTTTTTATTATCTTGGAACAACAAAAGCCTGAATACGAACAGTTCTCCTACAGTATTCACGTTTATTGTCACCAAGGAGTACGCAGCGTTCAGTTTAACGTTTTACACCGCATATTCAGGCCAGCTTTATACGCACCATAAATACCGTGCGCAAATGTAGCCATTTGGTTGAGATCGAACACATCTTTTTTCTTCACTGAGTCAGGACGTATAATTGAGGACCATGTAATGTTACATATACACTGAGTGACACAATATTTGTTTTGGGGTTCGGAATTATTCTTCTGTGAACGATACTACAAGAGTGTTATGTGGCGTACGCAAACAGGAACAGTGAAGGCTTCAGCACATCAAATGCTTCTCATTGTATTTCCGGGAAGCGGCAGACATGAAGATCGTTTCGAATACTCAGACTGAATGTAGACGTGTTTGCCATGAGCCCATCTGAGCGGTCTGCAGTGTCCTTATGAAAAGCTTGTTTTTTTTAACTTGAGGTTGGCGCTATATCAAAAGAACTGTTTATAGACGATGATAGATTCGCACATCTTTTTTTTTTGATGAAAAGCGCCCCGTATATAATGGATTATCAAAAAAGTGTTGATCGTTTTTAAGACCAGATTGAATCGATAATTTTTTATATTTTTAAACAATATTACCGATGCTTTTCTGCTGCTTTCCGCTAGCACCATAGCCCCACCATTGCAGGACCTTTGTTGTCCCTAGGCGAAAAATGATCTTTAAGTCTCTCTAGTAAAACCAAATGAATACTATCAAGGAAATCCTGCAGATGCTGAAACAGACGATAGCCTGATAATGCAAGATCGAGACTATGCGGTGCATGCATTAAAATTTCCTATCCAAGCTCTTTTAATTTTTGCCTGGTAGCAAAACATATATGTAGTCTGGCATTATCATAGTGGAACACGGCGCTTTTTTTTTTTTTCTCACTAGTTCAGGGGGATCTTTATCAGAAGCTTGTTTTAATGTTATTAGGTGTTGACACAGGTAATCTGCGCGGCGACGGTGCATATTTCCTTTCTGATCTTATTGGTCAGGGCTTCGGCACAGTTCATGGAGCGCATGTTTTTCCTTTTTCTTTGCGTATTTTCCTATGTGGTCCATCTTTCATCGCTCACTTTCAGCCAACTGCTTTAGCAACAGTTCGATCTTGTTGTATTTCTGTGGGTAAAGGGAAACACGGTCGAGTAAATCCATTGATGTAACATGCTTTTTTTTTCTAATGGTTTAAAGCTGTCTCGTTCTTCGTAGCTGACATCGCTATCCGCATATATTAACATACGCAATAATTCCCTTTTTCGTAATGAATCGACCAATAGTAGAAACGTTCTTCATATCGGCATCTTCAAAACGCAAACGATAGACCATACTCAGCTCGTTTCTTCTAATAATTGTACCTCGATAACAATTAGCGTCATTTTCTTTAATCGCCACATCGTGACAAAATTTCAAAATCTTTGTAGAAATTTCACCTACACATTTCGATAATTTCAGCACGTATATATATATTTGTCCGCGCCTCAAAGCGAGTGGCCCCGAGGCACTTTTTTCCCGACCACGAATTCAACATAGCACTTATGGCTTCACTGTCCTGCATTTTGATAATCTGATAAAACTACATCGAACTGTAGTTCCTGTTGAAAATGTTTACCTAAAGCTAGACGGGTCCACGCTTTGTCCCGGCACTGTTCCATTATGAAGTACATCTTCCTTGTGGCGTGTTGCTCGTTTATCAGTTCGGTAATCCATACTGTTTCACAACAATAAGCGGTCACGCTTCTCAACAGGTCCGCTTTAGAGTAATGGCAAATTTTATCTGTTCTGTCATTGTCTGTTGGCGTGTGTTTGCGTTAGATTTTTCCAAGCTTTCGATTGTCAGTGTTACGTCGACTATCTGTTTCCACTGGCGTTTCAATGGCTCTATTTGCGTCTCTTGAGCACACGATTCCAACCGTCAATATCTATAGGCGACAGCTATAGTATAGATTTCGGTGTGTGTAATATATGTAGTTATTACGTATCTGGCTACAACGTTAGAACGGTAACTTTTGTGTAAATATTTTTTACTTATAGTTCACTTTGTCACGTAGTAAAGTTCTGAACTTTTTGAATTTATAGAACAGCTCAATTTAAGCACATTGAACTGCTATCACATAGTTTTAGTAGAGTGGAAGTGAACGATGCAAGTAGTTTAGTAATATATTAGACTGAATGTAAAACGGGTACAGTTGGCTTGATAATTTACCGGAAAAAAAATCCCGGCTCGTCTCTTCAATGCTTCGATCAGAAACGGCTTTGTTCTAAACGTATCGTCAGAGTATGCCAGCTTGAAGTAGATCCCTTCCTCGATACTTTAGCGGTTTACACAGCTTTTTCAAGTGGGCCTTGCTGCGAGCGACGTGTATTATGTATAGAGAAACATTAAATAGCAGGAACTTCAGTTTCTATTGTATTAGTCGCCCTTCTTTCGAACCAACTCGATCCAGTTGATACGCTCAGATATAGTAAGGATTTTCTATTCGTACACGCACCTAGAGAGTAGTTTTTTTCAGACGCAGATTGCGGCTCTGTCTGTTCTACGTGGTTTATAAGTTTGTCCGTTCATGCTATTTGCTATGCATAGGGTTATTTGGATGTGACACATTACGCATTAAGGAGCACTCACTCGGACCTATCAGCTGGCTTCAGTCGCTGTCAGATCAAGTTGTTTTTGCAGACGGATATACATGTCTTTCGACCGACGATGCTGACACAGAAATATTTGATCATTCCGCTAAAAAAACATCAAATGTAAACAATTGAACAATAAAATAGATTGTCATTATTTTTGCAGTTACTTTAGCAGGAGCTGAACCGACTTGAGATTTTTTTAATTTAAGCGAATTTTAACCGAAACGTTAATAAGATCGGCCGTTGACCGATCTCTGAGAGAGGAGTATGATCTGAATCGGTCTTTCAGTAGACGTTGCGATTAATATAGCCAACTAATCTGCTTATTCATGTTAGGTAGGAAAATCGATTTCAGGTTTGGGTGCGTATCTATTCAACTCTTCATGATCTATGGATTGTTGTCAGGAAGATCCGTTACGCAGAACAGTATGCTAGGTTTCTATCTTTCAAACGGCATTTTGGTCTCGACAACTGAGATTTACGCATGTAGATATTGTATTGCTCATGTTCGACCCAGCTCATCGTGAGCAGAAGCAACTTTCCTATTTAGGCTCCCATGTTGCTACATCGGATTTTTTGCCTTTCTTACGCCGGAGTATCACTTTTATCTATGGGAAGATTGCTGCATCTATACTTAATCAAAATCTGTCGATTAGCGTAAAGAAGGGACGTCAACAAAAAAAGGTTCGATATTTTTTGGAAAAGAGTGCAGCGGATATCCCGGAAAAGAAACAAAATAATAAGTAAAAGGTCAGTCGTATTAGATGCCGCAACTTTTCAATTTAGACTTATAAAAAATCCACTCTAAAAATACGCTAAAGTAACGCGGAACGCATTTTCACCCTATTATCAAGTCAGCAGAGTGAGCCCCTCAATTGATTTTTGACCATTTTCACTCCAATGTCCATTTTAAGTATAGGGACGTGTACTGCACTCTTACTCAGCACCGTGGAGATCTCTCGATTGGCGTCGAGAAAAAGCATCCTTACATAGAATGTCATGTTAAGTTTTCAACTTTAGGTGGACATTTTTAACCTTTAAGCTGAGTTTTGGG